AGGTGATGTAGTCATAGGTGGTGGTGCTCAATTTGGTAGTTTTGATTTAACGGTTAATGGAACTTCTTATTTTCTTTCAGGTATAGAGTTAGTCCTTGGAGGGTCAATTGCTTTAGGGACTGGTAAAGGTTATATCCGTTCTATTAATTTAGGAGGTGGTAATACTGGTTATGATTATTGTATTTTTGGTGCTGGTGGATTACATCGGTTTTATGTTGGAGGAAGTCCATTTCCTCAACACTTAAAGTATCAATTATCAAACACACAGGCGTATTTTAATGTTGATGTTGTATGTCATACTGAATTACAAACTGATATTATCAATACAAAAAATGCTACTGATGTTGATTTGGTCTTTAAAAGGGGTGATGTTGAATATATGAAGTTTGAAGGAACGCTACAAGCAGTGGAACTAACAAAAGGTGCTAAATCAAACACTTATGATAGTATCGGCAATGCTGATGTCAGCTTTAGAAGGAACACCATAGATTTTATGTATTTTAGAAATGGCAATGTAGAAGTAAATACAGGTGTATCATTAGTTGCTGAAAGTGGTAAGTTTGATGTGATTGATAGTGCCACTCCTACTAATGTAGTATTTAAAAGGGGTGGTGTGAATTTCTTTACATTAGATGGCACTAAAAATATTATTGATGTATCAACTGGTCGGGCATTGTCGTCTCAATATATTTATGGCGACTTGTTTATCCATAGAAATGCCGGTGCTGATATTGTTTTTCAAGGCAGTAATACAACAGATGACGGTTCAGTAGAATATATGAGATACAGAAAAGCAGATGAAGATGTTAATTTTTCAAAAGATATATATGTCAATCAAGACAAAAGGGCATATTTTCATAAAGAAACAAGCAAGAATAGTTATATATTTAATGAAAATACAGCAGGTGTTAATCATTTCAAGTTAATCAATGAAGACCCTAACGGGGACATAAGATTTTATGCTAATAGTAGCATAAGACTTTTTATTACTCCATCAAAAGTTTCGGTTCCAGCACCTTATACATTAGAGGGAGACCTTGTAGATACATCACAAAAAGATATGAAATATGATATTAAAGAAGCAAACTTCAATTTTACAAAAATGGTAAATAGCATTAAACCGCATACTTTCAAAATGAAAGAAGAAAAGGAAATGGGAATAACTAAAAGTCATATAGGTTTCATAGCAGAGGAGGTAGAAGAAAATATACCAGAAAAGGTTGAAAATATACTTGTGAAAGTGGATGGCATTAAGAAATTAAGTTATGTCAAGATGAACTCTATTTTATGGGGCGCTGTGAGGGAGCAACAACAAAAGATTGAGCATTTAGAGGCTTGTATGTTTGAAATGATGGAGGAGATAAAAGAATTGAAAGGTAAAGGTAAAGCGAAAGCAAAGGCTAAAGCAAAAAGCAAAGAAAATTAAAATATAAACCTATAAATATGGGAAATAAACCAAGTTCAGTTGAGAACGGTTGTATTGAAGAATTGAGTAAAATTAATGAAGAAGAGTTAGATATTAGTAGGATAGATAAATTACAAATAAAAGCCTTAAAAGAAATCAATAGCAAAATTGAAAAACTGAACAAGGAAAAGTCTGATAAGATTATGTATAAACTACCTGCTATTAATTTGTGTTCATACAGTCTCATTTAATAACATTATTGAAGTATATAATGTTATTGAATGTGTATCTCGGCTTCAAACCTTTTCATAAAGATTTTATTTACATCACTCTCTCTCAACTTTACAAATAGAAATGAGTAGGGTTCTTCAGTGGCTACTCTGTAAATTTCATTTATGGTTTTCCTATCAATCAGGGCTGACTGCTCTTGAATGAATGTGTCAAGTTCTGACTGATTTTTCAGTTTGAAGATGTAAAGGCTACTTGAATTTAACCTGACTATAGGACTTAAAGCGTTATACTTCTGTGTGGCAGTTATGACTGATAATCCAAAGTGTCTTGATTTTGTGTATAAGCCGTGAAGGATTTTACTATATCTCATAAATGTCTTATCTTCTGCGAAATCATCAACTACTAACAAACAACTATATAACTTGTTCATCTTGTTTTTCTTCTGGTATTCTATCACTTTGTGCTGTGTGTCTATGATGTGTGCCAGACTTTCAGGGTCATACTCATCAAACAAATATTGCTCTTTTTTGTTGTCTATTTTTAGTTCTTTCTCTATGTATCGGATTACTTCTTTGTATGCTTCATCTATGTGTGCTGTCGGTGATACAATGTATATTCTCTCAAAGCATCCCCTGTAGATTTTTAGAATGAGGTTCTGAATTAATATACCCTTTCCGCCCTGTGATGCCGATACAATGATGCTTCTGAATGGTAGTTTGTCTGCTTGTGGGTAGGGTGATTGTTTGAATTCATACTGTTTTACATTGATAGGTTCAATCTTGGGAACATCAAGTTTTTTCATATAAATTATTTAGAAATTAATTTCCAATATTTATTGTAAATGGCATATCTTATTTTGCTTGAAATGGGGTCGCGAAATTTGGGACAGACTGCCATATTGCCCCTCATAAGAAGGTTAATTAAAAATAAAAAATCTACCCCTTGTGCTCTTGCTTCTTTTTCATTCCCGACACGGTCTCTTTTTGCTATGACAACAAGCAGTAGAAGATGTTGAAGCCTTTTTGCTTGAGAATTTGTTTGATGCTATGTTTCAATCAGCACAGTTCATTTTCTTTGACATTTACCTACCGCCCCTTATGGATTTTTGTTTGCGCCTAAAAATCCATATATAATTAGATAGTAATAATTTTAACATCTAATTATATAGGATGAGTGAATATGATAGTTATATTAATACAATAGATGTGATTGAAGATAGTATTGATGATAATAGTAAATTTCCAATTGTAAGAGATAATAAACTTAAACAGATATTCAGGGTAATGCTGGAGTTTCTCAAAGTGATAATAAATTATCTTAAGTATCATATAAATGCCACCCAAAAAAGCAAAACCAAAGATGAGTAGTAAAATACCAAAAAAGCCAATCCCTGAAGATTTTGAACTATCAGATGAAGAACCCGCTGTTGTCAATCTGAATGAGGAACAAAAATTGACATCTAAAAACATTGTATTTGAATGTCCCTTGTGTAATGGCAAACTACAGATGAGAAATGAAATTGAAATCAACCCCAAGGGCATCAAATGTAAATGTTCCCCCTGTAGTTTCAAAATCAGCAAGAATGATAAAACAATGAATGTCAAAAAAGATGATGATGGTGAAATTGTTTTAGAAAGTGAAGACCATAGCATCAGTTTCAGTTTTAACCGCCAGATTACACCAGAGGACAAAAATAAGGAAAGCACTAACAATATGATACGGGATGTAATGGCTACTACCCCCAGAAGTAAAGGACAACTGGCAATAAATGATATGGATTGAAAAAAACATATTTAAAGAGTTATTTTAACACACTTTGAACTGCTAAATAAATAAATATCTAAATAATTAATATATAGTAATGAGTGATTTGGATGATAAACAACCTGAAATGGCAGAGATGCTGAACAAAATGACAAGATACAACAAGAATGTCAAAACATTGATGGACTTAATGAACAAGGCATTAGAAAAACTTGATATATTAGTGAAAAATAAATCAAGTAATGATAATGATGCTGATGCTGAGAAAGAAAGGATGGATAAAATCTTTGAGGCTAAAAAAATCGGCAGACCTGTCGGCACTTTTGAAACCAAGCAACAGCAGTATCTGAAAATGCTGAACGAAGGAAAAATCAAAATGCCAAAGTCTCAGACACTTGAGTTTTATAAAATTGAAAAAGACGGTGAAGTCTTCAAACTCATTGATTGAGGTTTCATAATATTTTTTTCTCAAATAATATTATGAAATTACTTGAGTTGTTTTCAGGGACAGGAAGTGTGGGAACTGTCGCATCTGCTCTTAAATGGGATGTTGTGTCATTAGATTTGAAAGGGGCTGACATAAACTGTGACGATGACTTACAGTCATCCTCAAGGCTTTGCCGTGACATACTACAATGGAAATACAAAAAATATCCAGTGAAATACTGGGATATGATTTGGGCTTCACCCCCGTGTGTTGAGTATAGCATTGCTAAACAAACTGGGGTGAGGAAAATTGAGGAAGCAAATAAAATAGTAATGAAAACTCTTGAGATAATCAAATACTTCAAGCCGAGGGTATGGTTCATTGAAAATCCACAAACGGGGTTATTGAAGAAGCAATCATTTATGGAGGGTTTGCCATACTTTGATATTGACTATTGTAAATATGGCTTTAATTACAGAAAAAGAACGAGGTTATGGACTAATCTTGAGAATTGGACACCCAGACCACTTTGTAAAAAAATTTGCGATAGTATGGATGGAAATAGGCATAAAGAAACAGCGCAAAGGGCACCGAGTGGGAAAAAGGAATTTTGGAAAGAAAATTACACCTTGTTTAAACAGAAGGATTTGTATAGAATACCTCAGGCATTGGTTGAAGAAATTATGACTGCTGTAAATATTGTGTGTTTTAGTTAGATAAATATACATACAAAATATATATTTATATATTTTAACCCCATTTCAACCCAGTGCCAAGCAGTGCCAGACTGTTGAACTTGATGTGCTGGTCATCAACCTGCCACAAGGCCGAATGGCAAGTGAAAAAAACTGTGAGGTGTGAGGTTTCCACACAACCAAGGATGTTTGGAAGCAATATCAATTTTTTTTCGCGCTCTGATTGTTGCCAAAAAGTGCTTGGCAAATCGCACAGCAAACCAAATATGGCAAGTCCTCACCAACTCCCCTCATTTCATTGCCAAAATTTAGAAATTTCTGGGCTGGAAATTGGTAATTTCTGGGCTGGAAATTGGTAATTTCTGGGCTGGAAATTGGTAATTTCTGGGCTGGAAAATGACACCGAAAAATGCTCAATTCTGCTGGTAAAATGGTAGTTTCTACACTGGAAATTGGTAATTTCTGGGCTGGAAATTGGTAATTTCTGGGCTGGAAATTGGTAGTTTCTGGGCTGGAAATTGGTGAGTTTCAATGCCAAATGCCGGTCAATGATATGCCTATGGCTGGTGCTGATGTTTTCACAGCATCGCATCCAAAAATTCAAGCCGGTTCTTCACATATTCCTTTAAGGAATAGTCATAGCGGTTCTTCTCATCACTGTAGTAGCACACTGTGAATTGATGGACAAAGGCACTCTCCAAGGCTTCAATGGTAAAGCCGGTGCGGTCTTTCACAGCCTTCAACTCATCCACAATCTCTGGGAAAAAGAATGGAAGCATCTTGGGAATGTTCTTCTCGGTCATCGTCATATCATTCAAGCCCTCAAGCAATGCTCCAGCCTGTGGGGCAGTCATCACATTCACCTTGCCCATCAAGTAGCGTCCTGAATTGTCATTTGTCATCTCCTGATACAGCTTCTCTGCCTTTGCCAAAAGGTCTGCTGGTAAAGGGTTGCGGTCAGCCCTTTGAGCAGTGGATTGACAACGAGCAAGTGCCACTGCCACCTTGTCAGCCTTCTTGACTTTGCCCTGAGTAGCACCACCATAACCAGCAATGCTCACATAGACATTGGCGCCATTGTGAATGTTCAAGGTTGCCAATGTCTTGCTTCCACTGAATGGGATGTCCTCCAAGTTCTCATTGGCATAGACAAAGCGAAATGACTTCCTGTCATTCATCTTGGCAGGATGCTGACAGAAGAAAGCGCCCTTGACCTGAGACCACATGCTCTTGGGATGTGTCTTCACCACATAGGTGTAGTTGATGGACGACATCACAAAGTTGATGCTGATAATGTATTTCTCGTGCGGAAACGGCTTCACATCCTCTGGCTTGGTCTCTGGCTTGGTCTCTGACTTGGTCTCTTCTTTGACCGGTTCTGACTTGGCATCATCACCTGAAGTGTCAGACTTTGTCTCGTCGTCTTCCTCCTCCTGCTCCTCTTCTTCCTCCTCCTCTTGATTGTCGTTCTCACTTTCACTCTCTGATGGCTCCTCTGGGTCATCTCCTCCATCACCACCTCCAGCACCCGAAGCCTTCTTGTCATCACCTTCATCTCCTCCATCATTTCCACCACCACCAATGCCCTGAGCATCTGATGCTGAGAAATCCACATAGGTTGCTCCAAGTGATTGAGCAACTTGTTTCATTGTGCCCGTGTAGCCTCTTCTGGGATGTGCCATAACATCACTGGGCACATCGGTCAAAGCATCACCACCACCAAATGGCTTTGGTGAAGCCATCCACAGCAAAGGATTGGACAGGAACAGCCGTCCTACAAATTGTAGCAACCACAGTTGCTTTTGAGCAAAGATAAAAGGATACAAACTCTTGCCAACTGATTGAATTGTCTGCTCAAGGGTCAATGCCTGAAGATTGCTTGGTAAATTCACACTTATACTCTGGTTGAACTGCCCTAATCCATCCCCCTAACCACCGGTCAGGGCGCACCTGCTCATTGAGCAGGTTGATGACCACCACCACCATCTGGGCTTCCCACCTTTGCCGGCTGGCAAGATGGGATTGGTATGTTGTTATGGTTTATGGTATAGTCTATTTTATTATTCTTTGTATTGATTAGGTTGTTTGAGTTTTTTTTTGTTTTTGTTTTGTTGTTATGATTTATATTATGGATTATGTTGTAGGGAAAGTGATTTAAAGGGAAAGTATCTTATATATTAGGTGAATTATGGAGGATACAAAAAAGTGTTCAAAATGTAGAAGGGTAAAGCCTGTAGCAGAGTTTGGAGAATACAAACAGTGTCAGCCTTGTTTAGATTATTGTAGGTTGTATTCAAAAAATAATGCTGAAAAAAGGAGAGACTGGGCAAAAGAAAATGTTGAAAAAACAAAGGAGGTTAAACAGACAAAAGTATATTGTGATGATTGTAAGGTTGAAATTCAAAAAGGCAGTTGGTCAAAGCATATTCGTTCAAGGGAACACCTTTCAAATATTGGTAAAGATGACAAAGAGGAATTTGAAAAGATAAAATGGATGAAGTGCCCTGTATGTGATGATTATGATATTCAACTTAAAAATTACAAAAGGCATACAACAACAATGAAACATCAGGAGAATTTGAAGAAGAAGGAAAGTTAGATTTTATCTTATGAAACATATTTATAAGATGAAATTTGTTTTGGCTGTTATGTTTTTTTGAGGGTGTAGGCTGGTGGAATTTATGTTATATTAATCTGGGCGGGTCAGGGAAAAAGACGGGGGAGCACAATGCTGTATGTTATGTATGTTATGTATGTTATGTATGTTATGTATGTTATGTATGTTATGTATGTTATGTATGTTATGTATGTTATGTATGTTATGTATGTTATGTATGTTATGTATGTTATGTATGTTATGTATGTGATGTATGTTATGTATGTTATGTATGTTATGTATGTTATGTATGTTATGTATGTTATGTTATGTATGTTATGGTATGTGTATGGTATGTTATGTATGTTATGTATGTTATGTATGGTATGTTATGTATGTTATGTATGTTATGTATGTTATGTATGTTATGTATGTTATGTAAGTTATGTATGTTATGTATGTTATGTATGTTATGTATGTTATGTATGTTATGTATGTTATGTATGTTATGTATGTTATGTATGTTATGTATGTTATGTATGTTATGTATGTTATGTATGTTATGTATGTTATGTATGTTATGGATGTTATGTATGTTATGTATGTTATGTATGTTATGTATGTTATGTATGTTATGTATGTTATGTATGTTATGTATGTTATGTATGTTATGTATGTTAT